GAATCGGAGATAATTGAATTTCGTTTCTTCTTCAACTTCAACTTCGTCGTCAAATGAATGAATAGCTATTGAATACTTTTTTGAAATTCAAAAAATTGAATAAAGTATATTTTGTTCAAATTTGTTTTTTTTCAAAAGAAGAAGTACAAATGGTAACAAAATGTTTTTTTTTTTGAATCTAATTTGTAATTTGCAATGAAAAAGAAGATCTTTTTGATGATGATACCTGTTGAACACCCTTCATTCATGCATTTCATTTCATTTGATCGTCAATGATGATGATGATCATTTTCAAGTTCGAGGACAATCGAACAACGAGAATGGTAAAAAATAGGACAACGCGATAGTCTTTTGGTTTGTTCGTTGGTTATTTTGCTGGTTGGTTGGTTGGTTAGTGGATAATGGTAATGGCGCCCCATTTGTATATATCTCTTTTCTGACCTCAATTTTTTTTTGTTTTTTGTTCTTTCGATTTTTTCTTTTTCGGTTTTCTTCTTCTTCTGATTGATATTATTAAAAAGGTATTTTTTTCGGCAATTTTTTTTGTTCGGTTGGTTTCTTTTTTCTTATCAAAACAACATTGGAATTTGAGCAATTTTCTTTCTGCTTTTCTTCTGTTTTGTTTTGACGCTTCAAATCAAATCAAATATGTGAAATGATAATTTTTCCTTGGAAATGATCCAATGTGACCAACCGAAGCGACCGATTGATCGCATATCCAACTGGTGATATGAAAATTGCAAAATTACCGAATAATCTTTTGAGAAAAAATTTGTTTTCAAACTACTACCGAATCATAATAATAATAATGATTTGGATGTTTGATATTCGTGATTTATTTTCTTCTTTCAGGATCAACCATCAACAAACATCAAACAACAACAAACAACAAACATCAATCCAGTCCAATCAATTTGTGAATGGAAAATGAGAATCACATACCGTAATCAATGAATGTATAAAAGCCTGTTGCTGTTGCTATTATCTCAAAGATTAATTGATCACATATTTTATCATTTTATTGATACTAGGCTTCCGGCTTTCAAAAAAAAAATCTTGTTTTGATTGGTTTTTTTATCTATCTATCTATCTATCAATATATATTGAATTAATGAACAAGATAGAGGCAATCAGAATAAACTGGAACTGGTTCTTGATTAATATTTTTGGTCGATTTGATTTGATTTGATTAGAAACGAAATAAACCATCATCATCATCATAATCATTAGATTTTTTTTTTGGCATTCAAAAACCAATGATGTTATTAGCCACCAACAGAGCGGGTAACTTGATAGATGGATGATAAATTTTCATCATCATCATCATCAAAAAAAAGCAAGCAAAAAACATTAATTCTCAGGTCAGCCGGTTTGTTTTTTTCTTTTTTTTCTGTTATTTCATCTTGAACAGGTCATACCACTTGTGTGTGTTTATAAAGGGGTACACTTATTATCATCATCATACTGACCATGCAAGTATTTATCATTCCATTCGCATTGAATATTTAATGTTTTTTCCCCCTTCTCCATATGTAGGAGCGAACGAAAAAAAACGGTTTCATTTTACATAATATTCGTGGGCTACGGAAAAATAAAAAAAAAACAAAAATCTTCGATCACAACATGAAATATCACACAACCAGTTGGTTATTGATCACGGAAAAGCAAAAAAATCGAGGTCAAGTAGCATTTAAGATGCATTTATGTTTATCCGGTCGTTTCGATCATTTGATTATTGATTGAAGATTTTATTGATGATCAAAAATTATTGATTCTTCAAGATTGAAAATTACAAATAAAATGATTTATTTGAAATTAAAATCAATATTTTTCGATCACCCGATAGATAAACAAAAATTCTATGAAGAAAATGATTTATAGAAAACTTTACAGAAACAAATCTTAATGCATAACAAATCTCTTAATGTAATGTTTGTTTGTTTTATTCAACCTTGTAAACAAGCTAAGTTGAACTGTTGAAGTAATGGGCGAGATGTTTAAATTTTGAAATGAACATTTTTTTGACATGACAATTGATGATGATGATGTCATATTATGTAATGTTTTGTCAGCGTGACCTATCAAAAGAATTTATTTATTCATTCTGGTTAAAAGAAAAAAATTATAGTTTTGACTTCTGAATTTATTTGGCTGAAAAAAATCGTATGAAAAAATCCATTTAGATATGACTAATAATGGGTTAAAAAATCATTCAATATTTCCTTCGTTTTTTTTTCGTGAATTTTTTCATCAACCAAAGAAGAAAAAAAGCCACTAATTAATTGATAATTAGTATGATGAAATATTTGATGAAAAAAAATGAAGAAAATTTGCATCGATATATTTCTTCCATCAATTCCTGAATGCTACACTCTGTTTGGTCATCATCATTTGAATGATAATCACATCAACATTTCAAGGATGGTACCAATTGGCACCTTGTTTATATAACGAAAATTTATCGAAAAAAAAAGAAAAAACAACCATAACCATCCTCTCATCATCAGGTTATTGGTAAAAAAACAGAACGAATGCAGAAAAACTTTGTGAAGAAAAATCAAACAGAACAAATTATCAAAGCAAGCAAGAATATGAACGAAGAAAAACTTGTTGACTGACAAGTCTTTTCGATCATCATCATTATTATTATTATTTCATCAACATCATTTTTTCCACAGAAAATCTCTTGAGGAGGGGTTACTGACTTTGATGATCATCACCACCATCACCAACAACATTATCATCAACATCAACATTGCCATAATCATTATATTCACCAGCGATGATGATGATCATTGAAATAATGAAGCAAGGAAGAAATTAAATGAAAAAAAGAAAAAGAAAAATATACATTTCATTCACAAATGTTTGTGTTTTACAGTTTAAATTTATACAGAAACATCTTGTATTCAAGTGATGAACAAGTTTGATGCAAGGAATAATCATTGGTGGTTGTGAATTTTTTATCGACAACATTCGTCGGTAATGATTCACCGTATTTGAACAAACATCATCAAAAACATTAACCTAACCAGAATGATGATGATGATGATGAAGGATTACGCGGAACTACATTGAAAATAAACAAACAAACATTTTGGATGATAATGCCGGGAAAAAAAACATTACTACCATATACCAAAAGAGAATGTCATCAAAGTTTATCTTGTCTAAAAAAATAAACATCATAAACCAATCAACTGATGATGATATATTGGAGGTGAGAGACGGTTTTAAAAAAAACGGTGGAAAAAAAAGTGTTATTTTTTCAAACAAACAAAAAAGGAAATTCTTTCATTTATGGAATATTCTTCGGTTTTTTTGGATGGTGAGAAAAAGGGATTTTTTTCAACAGCAACAAAACTTGATTTTAAAAAGAATTCAAAGCGAGAAAAAGATTTTAGGAAAACATTATTATCTTTGTTGAAAATCAGAAAATAAAGATAACAAATATCATCATCAAAAATGAAGAAATCAAGAAAAAAAATAATTTTGTTTGGTCGATGACATTTCATCCTTTTTTTACACATAACATTGATTGATCACTGCTGGATTTATCTTTAAAAAAAAAAATTTAAAATTTTGAAAAAAACAAAATGCGAAATCAAATAATTTTTGGGTCTATAGGTGATGACCATTTCTAATCGAAGAAAAAGTAGAAGAAAATCATCATAGCCAAATGTAAAGAATTTATCATCATCATCATCAAATGATGATGATTAAAAAAAGAAAATCTCGGTAGTCGAATGTAATTACGATTGAAAATAAGAGATCATCAATATTTTTTTCTGATTAAAAAATTGTATCAGAAAAAGCAAAATTCCTTAAGGCTAATTTTTTTACCATCAAATGATGATGATGATGATCAATCGATGATTTATAAATCCAGAAATGAAAGAAAAAGACAAATTCAATGATCAAACAGGGTAAGACTTTTCCAAACGTTCTTCTTTTGATTTTAATTTGCTCTAATTTATTGCCCATTCTTGTCATTCAGTTTGCTAGTTTTTTCTCCTTACCCTCCACACATTTCAGTCAAAAAAAAAAAAACATTATTCGTATTTTTTGGGTGTCCTTGAAAGACGCGCTTCTTTTGTGTTAAAAATTTTTTTTTTTTTGAAAAAACTTTAAATAATGACCGGCAAATAACACTGAAGAATACCATACGTGATACCTGAAGAAAGAAAGAATGGGAAAAAACACCTTTTCTGACTTTGATTTTTATTATTGGTCATCATTGATTTTTTTTTTGTATTGTGGATGGATGGATGGAAACAAACTTAAATCGTTGTTCGTATATTTCTGACCTTATTATTAGTGAAGAATTTTCTTTCTTTCGTTCTAATCATTATTATCATTCGGAAAAGCATGTTGATCATCATGATTATTTCAAGTAAATTATGTTTTTTCGGGTGAATCAACAAGTGTTGTTGTTGGTGATGGTTATGGTGGTGGTGGATAAGGAGAGAGGATAAGGAGGATGATGAGGATCATCATCATCAGTATAATAGGCACCATTATGATAATCATTCTGATCAATTCCTTTTTACCATCACATCCTTATATAATCCTGATTTATCAAGCTTGATAATAATGATGATGATTATGATGATAGGTATGTAAAGTAGAAGGTAAGAAAAAAGGTGATCAACCAAAAGGTCATCAATGATTTTTGATTCAAGAATCATCAAAATAGCCATCTTGGTCTATTGTTTTTGAGATTTTGAAGTTTTTGTTTTACTTCTTGGACATTCAAGAGGGAATGGAGAGAAACAATTTTTTAATGAAATGATTGAGTGAAACAACCAAATGACCTTTGGCCTTTTAGTTTAGTTTTTTGAAAAAATTTGAAAAAGAATTTTTCAAGGCGTGTTTTTTTCTCTCGATCTGATGCTGTAATCATGCTTTATCGAAAGTTGAAGGAAAGAAAAAAACCTTCGATTATCAATCGAAAAGGTTTTCTGTGTTCAAGGTTTGGTTTACGAAATTTTTCTGTTTACTCAGTATTCATTTTCATTTCATTGGAAAACTCTATTTAAAAAGATAAAAAAACTTACCACAAAATGGAATGCCTAATGGTGTCCAGGTGCCATTCTGATGACATAAACGTCTTGATGGTCCTAATAATTCATAACCATTATCGCATGTATATGTTGCAATTGTACCTGAAACCATACGTTCATTTGTAAATGTAACCGATGCATGTGCAGGTGATCCTGGATAGTTACATGTTTGTCCTTTGAAGAAATAAAAGAAAAAAAAATTTGTTGCTGTTATTTCGTTTTCTTATTGATCGATTGATTGAAAAAATATATACCTGCAACAATAAAACTTTGTTTTGGATCAAAAACAATCATTATGATTATGATTGTTATGATTGGATGAAAAAATAATGATGATAATGGTGATGATGATGATTGTGGTGATTTTGTCGATGATGATAATTTAGATGATTTGAATGAAAATAAATTTGTTCGACTTTGTTTTGTGGCTGTTGATGAAATGGATGTGGATGTAGAATTCGATGACGATAGTGATGAACGAAAATATCGATATTTAAACAATAATATTGTTAATAATAATATCGATTGTTTTATTATTGACTTTATTGTTATTGTTGATGATAATAATGGCATCGTTTGTTGTTTCGATGATAATCTTCTTGTTGATGGTGTTGGTGATGAGCAAAATAATTTTTCATTTAATAATGGCAATGTTGTTACTACTGATGATGATGATTGCTTTATAAAAGATGACTTAGATGTTGATGATATCGATGGTATCGATGTTTTTTGATTGACAAACATTTTCCTCTTTTCCGGATTTATATTACAATCATTCCATTGACAATCCATTGATGATGGACAAATATCATCATCATCATTTAAGCGATAATGTTTATCCATCATTTTGTTGTTGAGTTTTTGAAAATTCATTTGAAATTCAATTCAGACAAAAAAAAAAGATTCACATCACATCACAATCGATAAACAACAACAACAACAGAATCGCAAAAAACAACAAGTAACATTCATTCAGAATTGAACTTCGACATTCACACACACACATGGAGAGGAAGAATAAAAACCGCAAAATAATTTTAAAAAAAACCAAATGGATAACGTTGTTGTTGTCAGTATGATTACTTGACTTTAACTAAAAACATTGACTTTTCGGTCGCTGCCGTCAATACACATTCTTTGGCCAGCAACTATTTTGTTGTTGTTGTTGAAAGAAAATTTTACGAATAACGCAAAATACACAATAATCATCTAATGATAGCAGAAATATTTTCTTTTCTCTCTTTCTGTTTTTCTTATTCATTTTCTTAGGTCGTTCTCTCTCTCTCTTTCTCTCATTCGATGTACTGTTTTTGCTCTCTTTTTCTCTTTCCTACTTCATTCAAAATTCACCTGGCTTTTTTGTTTGTTTCCAGAAGAAGAAGAAGAAATAGAAAGAAAATCTTACCTGTTCTACCTGTTGTTGTATGTTTTTTTTTTGGTTTTTTTTTTGGCCAGCCGAAAAAAAATGACATGACTTTGGAATGGCTAAACAGGTACGTTTGGTTATTTTTTTCTTCTTCTTCAGTTATCATTTTTTTTGTAGCGGTTGAATGAATGCACAACACTGATACACCACCACCAAGATAGATAGATAGATGGATGGATGGATGGATGGATGGATAGATGGAGAAGGGGAAAGCCAAGACAAGATAATCGACCAACCAACCAACCAGCAAAAAAAACACAAAGTTATCTCGGGTCAACATTCAATGATTTTTAGAGAATTTGGTTGATCATCATGTTTTCATTGAACGAATATGCAATTTTTTTCGATTTCAAAAATCGGAAACTTTTCGGAAAAGTTTCTGGGAAATTTTCCGGAAAATCAATTTAATTCAAAGATTTATTTACTTATTTCACTTAGTTAATTGATTATCGTTTTGTTTTTGTTGTTTTGTCGTCGATGGTGGTGGTTTTGGCGGTGGTGTCAAGATGATTACCCTATTTTCACCGTGTTTATAAATTGCCGACAAAAAAAACCAATCGCGAACAGTTCAAAAGTCAACAGGTAAACAAGGGGTTAGATTTTTTTTTAGACTGTTTTGAAAATGATGATCATAATCACCGGCCCAGAAAAAAAATGTCAAATTTTTAAAATGATAAGCGAACGAAAGAAATGCCGAAACAAAACAACAACAACAACAGCAAAAAAACCCCGATCAAGGTAGATCAGATAGGTGGTAATAAATTAGCTTTGAACCCCAAAAAAAACACCAATGTTGGTGGTGGTGGTGGTGGTGATCAGCAAGAGATTTTATCAGAAATTTTTTTTTTTTTGAGGAAAAAAGAGTCAATTTTCGTCCATTTGTCAAATCAGTGGAAGCAGGGTTTCATTCAAACTTTTTTTTTGAAATGTAATTTAAATCACACTGATCACACACACACACACACACACACACACACACACACAGTTAGTTTTATAAATGTGAAAAAATTTAAATTTTTCAAATTATTTTTTTCCGCTAAAATTCCACCTGAGATGCTATAAATCTCATTATATATATGTGTTGTGGATGACAATTTTCTTTTCCGATCTTACCTTTAAAAAAAACTAAACATAAATAACACAGGTGAAAAGAAAAATCAAAAATATTGTATAGATATGATTTAGAATTTTGACCGACCATGACCTTTCAATGGTAGGTAAGAAATCGATCAATCGAATTCATAAGTAATGTATCGATGATGATGATGATGAAGATGATAAATTGATTGATCCATTTGGTCAATCAATTTATTTTTGTTGTTATTTTTTTATTGCCCATGGAATTCTTTGACCTTTGGACCCTAGAAAAAACGAAATGAGAGAGTAGATGAAGATAGATACAATCATAGAATATTTGACCTTTTTTTTTGCTTGTTTGCTTCAGGTAAAATAAGTTCATGACCGTTATATTGAGAAGAAAAAAGGTCACATCACATGTCATCACTGTGATTCATTATTAGGATGATATTTTCATATATATTCATAGGTCATTGACCAATCTGATTGATTGAATGGTTGATTGTTCATTTATTGATCAGGTGAAACAAATGAATCTTTTCATAGTGGTGTAAGTGGGTTTTAAATACCTGCAGAAATCGAAATTTAAATTTAAAAAAAACCAAAATCCAAAAAAGCAAAAAACAAAAAAAAACGTTAAATATAGCTGGACAAGGTGGACGACAAAGTAGTTTCTATGGAAAGACAAAAAAAAAAATTAAAAATATCCTTGAATGGCCAACAAGAGATTCATTGATGACCACCACCACCATAATGATGATGATATTTATTAACCCATCGGCCACCACCATCATTTGAATGTCATAATGATAATGACCATTAGATGATGATGATGGAAATAAATTTGAAAATAGCCAACCAAGCAACAAGCAACAAAAAAAATGAAAATTTTTGAAAATTTAAATAACCAAACCCGACAAAACAAAAAAGGATGAAATCGAAATTTAAAAAACAGGCAAATCCAGCAGCAGCATCTTCAATTTATTTTTGAAACAATCGTTATGCGACAAACAATATATGATTGAGCGTTTGTTTGTTTTTTATATCCAAAATGAAAAAAGTGGCTATTTTTGGTCATTTTTTTTTTGGGAATTGCTTGCTTTCTTCGAAACAACAAGGAACAAAAATCGACGACTGAAATGGAAAGCTCGCCCAAAAAATATATTTGGAACCACAACAAAAATATTTGAAAAAGGAAAAACAACAACAAATCGGATCCAAATGAAAATGAAAATAATCAATAGGATCAGGTGGATGATGAATGAAAAAATTCCGAATTTTTCTGATTTCTGAACAATAGATTTATTTTCGGTTCAAAAAAAACCAAAACAAAAAATCATTTTATTGATGAATCTTTTGTAAAAGGAAAAGGATAATTTACAAAACCGAGAGATTTATTAGTTTGGATTTTGGAAGAAGAAAAAAGGATTTTTTGATATGCAAATATTTGGTCGAAATTGTGCAAAACACACTTTCATCAGGTGTGACCTAGTGCCATGTTTTTGTCATTTTTCTTTGGTCGTTTCAAAAATCTATTTAATATACACAAGGTGTTAACACACCATTAATGTGCGAAATGAATGTTTAAGAAAAATTTCATTTTAGGTTGATTGAATTCATCTATGGTCAGTTAGTTGGTTTATTTATTTGTTAGGGTTTAGTTAAATCCCTTTTTGGTGTTTAAAAAAAATTGAAAGTTTACAACTAATTGATTGAGTCTCAATGATGGTTATAAATTTGGCTATTTGGTGGTTTTTCATTTTTAAAAAAACTAAAAATAGATTTACAAACAAAGTTTCAAACAGGATTCAGGATACTTGTCAACAACTATTCAATTATTATCAGTGACCAATTGAACAACAACAACAAATGAAAAATGTAAATCAATTTTTTTTGAAAACCAAAAAGAAAAACTAAGAAACCCGGTCACTTTTTCGGTTTCCACCAAATCAAAAAAAAAAAAAAAAATGACCAATCCTGTGCCATCGACAACGTCGTCAACAACGACGACATAAATAGTCAAAATAGTCATCAGCAAAAAAAGAAATGTAAAACACAATGTTTTTTACATTTACAAATGAAAAAACCTTTCGGTCAAAATGCACCTATATGTCTCATCATCATCATCATTAGATGATGATGGATCCAACCAGATGAATCAGAGCACATCCGTCACCAATAACGATGATGATGATGACCACTACCAACCGCCAAAAAAATACTTTTCTTCTACAGCTTCTTCCTTCTGGATTCTACCTACTTTTTTTGCTGAATAATTTATAAACCATCAAAAAAAATGAGACTTTACTCCATATCCATGACCATTCGACCATTCAAAAAACAAGCATTATTCAGATCAAATTTTTTGACCAGTGAAAATCATTTCAACAAAAATGATCCAAAAATAACCTGGTTTTTGAATTTTTTTTACCTGGTTGACAAACACACAAATCATAAATGCAATCGATTTTATTTTTTCAAAGAAAAAAAAAATTTTTTACAATTTTTGTTGTTGTTACATGGAGAATATTACATAGGAAAAAAAACAAGCAAAGATTATGTCAAATCAAATCGAAAAAAAAATGATTTGAAAATGAAATTTAACAAGCAAACAAACAAAAAAAGAGAAAACGAAATGAAATGATCATTTCATCTAACAATTGTCAATCTTGTAAAGATAATAAAGATCATTTGAAGCGATTGGTTGAAAATATTTGAAAATTTCATCATCCTCGTTGCCGTTGCCGTTGCCATTCTCATCATTATTCATTGATCGTCGTCCAATCAATCGTTGACATAGTCGTCCCTGTTTATCTGGTTGACCATTTGTTGATCGTTGTTGACCATTCGTTGTTGTTGATTGTTGTTGCCAATAATCATTACGTTTATCTTCATATTTCCAAATATCAATCATACGACAATTTTGTCCAAATTTTCCAAAACAATAAATTGTTTCAATAATTATATATTGTATTTTTAAATGACATAAATTTTTATGTATAAATTTAAATGGTCGTTCGCTATATAAAAAAAGGTAAAAGAAGTTAGTTAGAAAATAGAAAAAAAAGTTTTGTAAAAAAATCTAGTTTTAAAAAACAACAAAAAGAAAATTTATAATAAACTTGTAATTATCATTATTGATCGAAATCAATCATTAATCAATCGATTGATTCTCATTGATTATAATATATTCAGGAAAGATTTAAAAAAACCAGGGGCGGATTAATTAGAATTAAATTTATGAGATTTGTAAATAATAAAAAAAAATTCCCGAAAATAAATAACCGATCCCCAAATTTTTTTTTATTTGAAAAATCCCGGAAGAAATTCAATTCCTATAAATTTTGTTTGTTTGTTTGTTTCGCTTATTTAATGAGATATCAATCAATCTGGAAATAAATCTATCTATCTATCATCATTAACATAGTTATCATCATCATCATCATTATCAATCGATGATTGATGATGGTTATTATTATTATTATTAATCGACGACCTTCAAATATTGTTGATAATGAAGATTGGGTAATGGTAATGATAATAAGATTTATTATATCATCATATTTCTTAAAAGTAGGATCTTTGTGTCTGTGTAGGTGTCGTTTTTTTCCCGAATGCTACGGTTATTATAACGGGAAAAGATGATAATCACCAGCATTGCCTACAACTTTAGAATAATTTTATTATGAATTTTTACGAAAACAAAAAACAAAAACAAAATATCTGAAATAAGAAACCGAAAAATCCTATTTTGAAATGAAATTTTAATTTTAAAAAATTTTTCAAAAAAAAGTTACTCAATGTGGGCAGAAGGGTTAAATTCGAAAGAAAAAACTCTGATGAAGATTAATCCTTTAGTCATTTAATTTAAATAATTGAAAAAAAATGGATCCATCGATCCATTGATCATGAAATTTTTTGTTTTTGTTTTTCTTGACCAAACAAAATCTTAATATCTTGGTTATGCTCTATATATGCTCTTCAGGTCTTGATGAATTTTTAACCCGTAAAAACCTGAAGAAAAACTAACTAAAGAAAAACAATCTTTCAATCACCACCATAATGATGATCATCTTACCGACCAACCAACTAGCCAAACAAACAAACTAAAAAAACTAAACTAAACTTTAAATCACTATTCATTTTCCTCCCCCCTTAAAATAAATAGAAAATCCATCATACATACACTAGATAAATATGTGAATCTCTTGTTAATTACACAATGATGATGATGATCAAGTTTAAAACAAAACCAAAAAAAAAAAATGACACCAGAAAAGAATTTAAGGTCACCATCATCATCATCATCGGTCAGTCATTAGGTCAGTAACAGCAACAGAAAAAAAAAACAAACTGGATATCTAGATGATTATACTTGACTGACCAATGATGAACAACAACAAAAAAAAAATAGAGTTAATGATTGTCTATCATATATCATTGAGTAACAAATATCACTTCAATTTGTTCGTTTTTTTTTCTTTCAAAAGCAGAAATAAAAAATCTGACCAATTTCTTCTTATTCGTCTTTTTGTTGTTGTCTATTTTAACCCAAATAATATTTTGTCGTTTAGCGAATTTTTTTTCATAAAAAAAACTTTGTTAATTCAGTCTCTCTCACTCCATTTGTCTATAGGACATACCTGTACAGTTGATAAATATCATAGGTACGTTGACGTATCGATGTTGATTCATAGAATGGATTATTTGCTATTTTTGATGATGATGTTGATGGCAAATTGAAGAAAAAAAGAAATTTTAGTAAATTTTTCTTTGTGAAATTTCACACCAGAAACATCGAAAATACCGAAAAAACTTACCGATTTTTCTATCAGTCGAAAGCATTACCGTTGCCATTGTTGACATTGATCCTATTTTTTTTAAACGAAAAAAAAATGGATGGAACAGGGAAAAAAAGAGGTTGAAACAACAAGAAAAATGAAATAAAAATTACAAAAAACAAAAAACAAAACAAATAATTTAACAGAAATTTGATTATTTTACCGGTGAACAAAAAAAAATATTTCTCTGAATTACCAAGAATCTTTTTTTTTAAAAAAAATTGTGATTCCCCACCATTTCAAATCACAATTTTTGATGATTATTTTCTTTTTAATTTAATTACATTTCGAAGAAGAAGAAAAAACAAAAAAAAAGATGGTCAAATCATGAATGAATGAATGAATGGAAATAAACAGAAAACAACAACAGCCGATTATAATGAAAACAACAATGAGACAAAAGCAAAAACAAATGATAATTTTTCAATTGAATTTTTGTTGTTACATCCGGGCAATACAAATACAAAGCATCGAAATTTTTTTTTCTCTCTCTCTCTCTAATGATAATGATGTGAAACACACACATATTGATTTGACACATTTGAAAGAAAAAGAAGAAAACATTAAATGAATAAAAATATGTTTCAAAACATCATTTGATGATGATGATGATGGCAAAGATGACTTAATCATTTTCAAGAAAAAGAAAAAAATAAAAAGAAAAAATTCCCAGATGAAATTTTAATTTAATTTAGGAAAAACACATCATTACCAGAGTGATCAAATGAATCCCGGATATGCAACATTGTTTTTTAATCTCATTGGTTATTCGGGTATTGATCCAGATTATCATCATCATCANAAACTTACCGATTTTTCTATCAGTCGAAAGCATTACCGTTGCCATTGTTGACATTGATCCTATTTTTTTAAACGAAAAAAAAAATGGAGGGAACAGGGGAAAAAAGAGGTTGAAATAACAAGAAAAATGAAATAAAAATTTTCAAAAAAAAAACAAACAAATAATTTAACAGAAATTTGATTATTTTACCGGTGAAACAAAAAAAAATTTCTTTTTAATTACCGCAAACATTCTTTGAAACAAAAAAATTGTGATTCCTCACCATCACAATTTTTGATGATTATTTTTTAATTACATTTCGAAGAAAGAAAAAAACAAAAAGATGGTAAAATCAATGAATGAAAATAAACAGAAAACAACAACAGCCGATTATAATGAAAACAACAACAATGAAGCTTTGAAACAAAAACAAAAAAACAAATGATAATTTTTCAATTGAATTTTTTTTTTTGTTACATCCGGGCAATACAAATACAAAGCATCGAAATTTTCTCTCTCTTTCTCTAATGATAATGATGTGAAACACACATTGATTTGACACATTTGAAATGAATAAAAAATATGTTTCGAAACATCATTTGATGATGACAAAGATGACTTAATCATTTTTAAGAAAAGAAAAAAAAATTCCCAGATGAAATTTTTTTTTCATTTTCATTTTTAATTTAATTTAGAAAAACACATCATTACAGAGTGATCAAATGAATCCCGGATATGCAACATTGTTTTTAATCCAAAAAACATAGAAATCTCATTGGTTATTCGGGTATTGATCCAGATTATCATCATCATCATCAAATATGGTGTGTGTGTGTGAACAGGTGTTTGTTGTGTGAAAAGGATTGGATTTTATCATAATTTTTTCAAGCGGCTATTTTAATTAAAATTTCAAAATAATACATTGAACACGAAAGTAAAGAAAGTGAATCAAACGGACAAAAGAAATCAGATTTGATGTAATCAGATTTTTGCGGGAAATCGGTAAAATGGATTTTCCATTTTCACTTTTACCCGGATGATTGAATCCAAAATTTTTTTTTTTGGATAATTAAATTGAATTTTGGGAAAAAAAAGTTCTCAACATTATTTGGATTTGGATTTTTGGTCACCTGAGAAAGATGATTTGGAAATTTTCATATTTTGCTCAAGGAAGTGAAAACAACCAACCACCAGTCTTTGTTCGGGGTGTTTATCATTATTTTCATTCGAATGTGTTTTACGTGATAAAAGAGTGAGTGAAATGTGATGAGAAAATCCACAAAAAAAAGATATATTGATCATTTGAGATACAGTCAGAAAAAAGTGAAAAACATTTTGCCCATTTTTTTTTTTGGATGGGGGTGGAAAAAATCAAAATCTTAACCAACCAACTATTTACACCCAAACAAAATTCATTATAGATCTATTTTAACCAAAATATTACATCAAATATTTGAAAAAAGACAATGATAATGACATTTGTATTATTATCATCATTATTATCCAAGGTTTCAAAAATGGGTGTAGATAATAAAAACAAACAAATAAAAATCAACAATATCAATTCGTTTCGACAACAAACAAACAAAAAAAACAATAGAATCCTAAAATAAAGAAAGACAAACAGGGTTGAAATGGTCAACTATTATCTGGATGATGTTTGTTTAAACAAAGCAAAGAGAAGATCTTTTTTTCATCTTGGTGCAATCAAGATGAAAAAAGAAAGAAAGATGAGAACCTGAAATTGAGATCATCATTACACACACATTCGATATATTTTTCAAATGGGCTGACTATCGATTATTGATTTGAAAAAATATTTACAATGTCCATCACTGAATGATGATGTGAAAAAAGGGGTGTAGGTCATGACCAATCATAATAAGAAAATTCAGTGCAAAAGAAGAACTGTTTGTATCAACAAACAAAAAACTAAATTTAGACTAGCCATTCATCATCATCATCAGGATCATTTGTAGAAAATTGTTTACCTGGATTTTTTTTCTTTAAAAAATTTCATTTTTCTTTTCAAAAAAAAAATTCAGGTAGCATCAATTTGTAGTTTTTGATTGATATGAATGCTTTTTTTCCAAACAGAAGAGTCGTGAATCATAAAAAACTAGCAAATAATCGATTTTTTTTCATTTTTTGATTGATGATGATGATAATGATAGGTAAGGATGTGATTTTTCAAAGGGGAAAAAAAGATTATTCACATTTTTTTTTTGGATAATCAAATCAAAATCGATTGTGGATTATCCATAAAGGTAATGAAAATAGAAAATCGATACTTGATATATCTGGTAATTTGTCATTGCTAAGGTAATTTGTAAATTGCACTTGTAAAACTTGAAAAAACTTACCACCAATAATACTATCATATGGTGTTCGTTGTTGAATAGCATCTAAAATATGTTCAAATGATTCATTGGAAAATTGTTGTTGATTTTCCAAATATTCACGCATTAATGGATAAGATTTTATCGATATTATACTAATGATTGTACCGAGTAATAGCCAATCAAACCAAAATTTTTTTCGTTTATTTTGTTTCAATTTTTCCATTCGATTATCATTATTATCATGATTATTCTGTTGATCATTATTGGAAAATAATAATCCAGTCGAAATAGCCAATTGTGGCATCATTAATAATTTTAATCTCATAATCATAATTGCCATTATGCTGAAACAACCAGTTATCATAAAATGATATATAAATATTGAATGATTTGAATTGGAATTTTTCCAATCAATAAACAACCAACGAATTTGTAATAAAAATGCCAATATTGTTAACGGACCGATAAATGTTTTTGTAAATAACATTGAATATAATTCTTGCCATTTAATCCAATCATATTCTTTTGAACAAATATAAAGAAAACTATGAAAATTATTATATTTTTCAGGGAAAAATTTCGACATTAATATTGTCCATATATGTGAATATTCTTCATTGGATTCTTCATCATTCTTCGATTGTAAGTATTTCGAAATGATTACATTCCATATCATTATTGTAATGATAAACATAAGTTTTAGGAATGATTGTTTACGTTTTGTCATTGATGTTGGTGATGATGATGGAAAAAAATTCGTAATCATTGATAACAATAATGATGCTGATAAATATGAAGAAATGAATAAAAAATATGGAGATCTTAGAACAAATAAATTGCCCAATTGTAACATTGATTGTAATAGTATGGCAGCAATATTGATAAGGAAATATTTTTGTAAAAATTTTTCCATTGAAACATTCTTGTCATCGTTGATAATATTTGGTAATAATTCTACACTTAAATAAAGACATAATGTTTGTATCAATAGAATGAATGATGAAAATTGCCAACATAATAATTGTGTAACAATTAATAGTAGCAAACAAAATGTTTGTTTATTATTGATAGATGATGATGATGATGATTTTTTCATTCGCCCACAATACAGATATCTGATTAAACAGAATTGATGAAATAAAAATAATGGATAGCCAAAATTTTCACGTAATGATATTGACCATTGTACACGTGATGATTCAGTTTGATTAAATAAAAACATTATCATTGCCATTAACATTGAACATATTGATTGATTAGCTAAATAATAAGCTAACCAACCAATTAAAACAGGTACAAAACCATTCAAAACGAATACAGAATAAATGTAAAAATAGAATGGTTCACCAATACCTTCACATGTTGTTATTATTGATTTGGATTCATTTTGATAGATAAGATTTTCATTACCACCACCACCACCACTGCCATCATTATAATCATCATCAATCGTTTCAACAAGATAACAACGACGCCAATCTTGATCAAAATCTACATTGAAATAATCAATAAGTATTGTACGCATTGTACGATATGATATGGCAAGAAATATTTCCGGTAATATTGTTAATATTTTAAATGAATTAACAATATTTGGTGCATTTGATCGATTATCATTGAATATTTTTTCATTTAATAATTCGGAAAATGTTTTCAAATTATTATTATCATTATCATTATTAATCAATGCTTTATAATAATAATAATATAATGATTGTTCAGATGTCATTGACATTTCACGTTCAATTTCGGTCAGATATTGATATGAACGATCATTTTCAAACATACGATTTATGTACCAAATATAGAATATATAAATCAATGATGAGATCAATAATTTTTGGCTCAACATTTTTTTGAAATGTTTTTTTTTATTTGACGTTTGTCGTTTAATAACAGCAAAAAAAACATGAAATTATCAAATCTTCAGGATTTATTTAAGTAGAAATTTTCATTTTCATTTTATCAACATTGTTTCGCAAAAAAAAAACAACTGATGTCTACGCATTAAAATTAAAAAAAAAAATTCATAACGAATGAATCGAACGAACGAAAAAAAGAATATCGAACGAAAAATTGTAAACAAATCGATTTGAATGCCATCTTTTGTTCAAAATGTTAACAATTTTTTTGAATTTTGGATTTTCAAATCATTTTTCAAAATCATTTTCCTTATTTTGTGGTTTTTTTCCCAGTTTTTCCAGCATGACCTTCATATATGCACCTAAAGATCTCCATTTATGGAATAAAATGGATCGATTTTTTTTTGTCAAAAAACCAAACAATGACAGAAATAATAATAATAATTGTTGTTGTTGTTGTCGATCGATATAATTAATAAATTATTATTGTTTTTGTAATAATAATTATTATTTACTTACAACAACAACAACAAGAACAACAATGTGAATATCGATCGATCCATTTTGATGTACGCCCACGCAATAAAAAAGTAAAAACAGAAAAAAATCAATTTCTATTTGACAGAAATTTCAAATTGAATTTTTGTTGTTGTTTTGGATACCAGTTATGATCCAACAATTTCTAGCTACCTAGATTAAATGGAATCAAATTAAGAATTTGTTTTTTACATTTTGGCAACAACAACAACAGCAAAACAATATGTTCATCAATGGACAATGACCTTGTCTTTACCTTTTTTTTTCTTCGAATAACAAGGCGTACATTATCATCATCATCATCATCATAATCATACAGGTCAAGTAAAATAATCTTTTAAATCATAAAGGACGTTTTTCAAAACGTGATGATAATCAATGAATCAATCATTTAGCCAAGCCTTAAAAAAGAAAAATATTTTACCGAAGAATCGAATGTTTTTTTTTCTGGTATTTTCTCTGTCGAATGTGTGAATCCACTGGTGGTGGTGGTAGTGGTTGCATAACTCCAAAAATTGTTAGCGGTAAATGTTTATGTGAACAATATTACCTGTGTGGAATGAATAGAATGAGANATTTTCATTTTCATTTTATCAACATTGTTTCGCAAAAAAAAAACAACTGATGTCTACGCATTAAAATTAAAAAAAAAAATTCATAACGAATGAATCGAACGAACGAAAAAAAGAATATCGAACGAAAAATTGTAAACAAATCGATTTGGATGCCATCTTTTGTTCAAAATGTTAACAATTTTTTTGCTTTTTGGATTTTCAAAATCATTTTTCAAATTTCCTTATTTTGTTGTTTTTTTTTTAGTTTTTCCGGCATGACCTTCATATATGCACCTATAGTTCTCCATTTATGGAATAAAATGGATCGATTTTTTTTGTCAAAAAAAAAAAATAACAAACCAAACAATGACAGAAATAATAATTGTTGTTGTTGTTGTCGATCGATATAATTAATAAATTATTATTATTGTTGTTGTAATAATAATTATTATTTACAACAACAAGAACAACAATGTAAATATCGATCGATCCATTTTGATGTACGCCCACGCAATAAAAAGTAAAAAATCAATTTCTATTTGACAGAAATTTCAAATTGAATTTTTGTTTCCTTGTTGTTGTTTTGGATACCAGTTATGATCCAACAATTTCTAGATACTTTGATTAAATGGAATCAAATTTACAATTTGTTTTTTACATTTTGGCAACAACAACAAAACAATATGTTCATCAATGGACAATGACCTTGTCTTTACCTTTTTTTTTTCTTCGAATAACAAGAAAAAGGTGTACATTATCATCATCATCATCATCATCATCATAATCATACAGGTCAAGTAAAATAATCTTTTTAAATCATAAAGGATGTTTTTAAAACGTGATGATAATCAATGAATCAATCAATTCATCAATCATTTAGCCAAGCCTTAAAAAAGAAAAATATTTTACCGACGAAAAAGAATCGAATGTTTTTTTTTCTGGTATTTTCTCTGTCGAATGTGTGAATCCACTGGTGGTGGTGGTAGTGGTTGCATAACTCCAAAAATTGTTAGCGGTAAATGTTTATGTGAACAATATTACCTGTGTGGTATGAAATAATAAGAATCGAAAACTGCTCAAAGAAAAAAAAACGTAGCAGTATAGAAAATAATTCGGTCAAATTAAAAAAAAAAAAATTTCGGTGTTTTATATCGAACCAAGAAAAAAAAGGTAATTTTTCAACATTTATCAATACCGCTACCATTCTGGTAGGTAGTAGTATCGAAATATAGTTGAAATATTTTTGGATTCAAAAAACACACACCCCTTGTTTGCCGAATTACCACTACTTTTTTCAACCAAAAAAAAAAAAAAAAAAAAAAAAAAAATTTTTTTTTTGGGAAAAAATTAATTTTTGGAAAGAAAAAACCCAA